GTTATGCATGGTCGAAAGCCTTTGCCCAGATGATGAGCTAGGAGGAGATTGTGCAGATTCCTTAGGGGCGCTATAGGAAGGCGAGGACAGAGAGATGGAAGAGCTCAGCGACGGAGAGGAGGCAAACTTCTGCCCGCTAGGGTTATGAGGCTGTATGAGAATAGAGGACTGTTTGATTGGTCTGCTCGGCGATGTAGAAGTCTCAGGTCCTGGAGGCTGCTGTTTCCCTTGGTACATACTCTTAGACTGGAGAAAATGTTTTGGACGCTCGTAGTTAAACATGGTTGGTTGGTACATAGAGGAAACTGATGGGAGATTATGGACACTCATGGGGGAGGGTTTGAGATAGTCCTGAGCGTTTGTAGGTGAGAATGGGCTTTGGGGTGGTGGCTGGTAAGTTAGATGATAGGCCACAAACACTTTCGTGGGTGGGTTCCTGGGTAGAGTGGAACCCTTGCCTCGATGGTGGATTATCCCTTTAGGAAGATAACACAGATAAAAGTTGCACGTCACAATTTGACTAGCAAGCACTGTGTAGCAAGCAGTCATTTTGCTGTGAGAGCATCAGGATTTTTAAGATCCCACATGCAGTCCCATAAAAGCGACAAGTCAGGTCTGCAATTTCTATCGCAGATCTGTGCTAACAACTCTCTTTAGTTACAAGATCAAGTAGTACTCCCATTATCATAAGCAGTACCACAGTTTCATCTAAAACAGCAAAGCAAGTTCCAGCATAAAATGAAGGTTGTAGCAATAGCCATGAACTAATGGCGCTTTTCTGGCCTGAATCTGCAAGTAGCCTGAAATAACTGCACAAGCATGAGCTGCCATGCAGCCATCATAAGGGCCTATGGATATTGTAACCTTGCACCCATAAAATTTAACATATTTTCCCTACTGTGCCACAGAACATGTGTTTTTTTTTTGGTTTTTTTTTTGTTGCTATGAGATTCATTACATTTTGTCTTATAGCTAGGGAAGCATGAATTTGCTTCAGTTTCCATCTCAGGCTAGTAATTTTACACACAACAAGAAAATCTCCCATACTATATTAAGACTTTTCAACAAGAGTTTTCAATGTATGAATGCACATGGGGTATGATATTATTTTAGTATTCTTTTGCACACACAATTACCATACTGGGTTTTCCATGCTTTGTGTACTGCTGATTTGCGGATATAGGATGGAGGGGTGGGCGAGAGGGGAAGGAACCATCTGAGCACAAAAGTTTTGTGACCAACTGAGATTAGGTGCACAGATATGAAGTTTAGTAAAGAGAAACCATTCACCCCATTGAAGTAGTTTGCAGAGATTTGTCAATCAAGAGCACTAGGGACAAAGTTGCCCTGAATAAATGGTAATTGGAAGCAGGGCTAGAGTGAAGGATGTATGTCTCTTGCCAGATAATGCATAGGCTAAACCAGAAAATATGGCTAATTAAAGCACTGCTGTAAAATACAGCAGGACAAATAAAGCATCTTGAAGAAAGGTGCTAGATTACATCCTATCCATAAGGTAGATATCTAAATCAAAACTTCCCTCCTCTGTGCAACAGATGGGAAGCTTCCCAGCAGTGAACTGAGCAAATTACAAGTTGTAAAAACCTCTAAGCAGAGACCTATAAATCTACACAGTTACATGTGCTGGAAAAAATTGCAATCTTGTCCCACTGAGATCAGCTGTTTTGCTTCTATATATACACATTGAATATTGTATTCCTTTCATAGGAGACCCCAAAGAAGG